TGTAATATACGCAACGTTACCAAAGTAAAAATCATTAGAAATTATGTTAAGCAATCATTGAAAAAACCCTCTATTCTAAAGGCAGGTGTATTTTATTATTCTTAGCACTGGATGAAGTGCTTTGATAGTTTCTTCCTGATTCTTTATTGGATACTCCTTGGACCTCTGAGGGACCCTTGGCTTAATGCTTTGCCCTATTCTCAAACTACATTCACTCCTTTGAGTACTGGCTTTCAAACATTTGGTCAAGCCACACAATGAGAAATACATTTTATAATGCAACTCATTATACACTGAATAAAAGTGAAATAAAATAATTGTGAAGAAATCTCCTATGTGGGAGATAGCTAATAATTTTTACTCTGTGTTTCTTATTGTTTTTTAGTTCTGGTTAGTACCCACTGAATTGATTTCAAGGCCCATTAATGGGCCAACAACTCACAATATAACAGGCCTGTTATAGGTGATCTCCAGTGCCAGAAGTTTAAATATCATCTATGATTCCTATATTTCTCACTTATATCCTTTCCCCTGAACTTCAAATTCCTGTATCCTACCTGACATCTCAACTTGGACATTTTCCTAAACCTCTTCTCTTAGTAGTCTAGTCCTCTTCTTGGTAAGATGGAACACCCTTCATCCAGATGCTCAGGCTCATAACTCAACTCCTTTATTCCCTCTCATAACCTACTATTTCTACCTTTGAAATATATGCTAAATTCAACTTCTCAGCACCTCTACTACTATCACCATAATCTAAGTAATCATCAGGTCTACAAAAGCCTATTAACTATTTCCTCCACTCTCCATAAAACAGTAAGTGCTCCAACAATAATCAGGGTGATCCTTCGAAAACATAAATCAGATCACGTCCCCTGCTCACAACCATCCCCAGTAAACTCCAAGTTCCTAACACGGCCTTTATAGGGCCTAATGTGACCCTAGTTATCCTTCTTTTCTGACCTCATCTCCTACCCCTCTGCCCTCTTGTTCACTCCTCTCCAGCTAGTACTCCTTACTGTTCTTGGAAGATGCCAGGAACAACGCTCAGACATGAACATTTTTGTATCTGCTGTTCCCTCTACCTAGAATGCTCTTCTTCAAGA